AGGAACTTCAACTCCTGTAAATAATTTAATCCCAACTTTAGCTAATCCAGGAACAGCAACAAGTAAACCTTTTAATGTTGCAATGGCCCGATCAACATTTGTCTGATACTGGTTTTCAATACTACAAACAGTATTTAATGTATTATTAATGAGTTTTAGAAGGTATCTACTATTGTAATTGCATTTAAAGCTTTTGATGGTTTTGTCAGATTCATTAGATCCTGAAAAATTAGGTTTCCAAATTTCTCCTCCACACTGCATAATTGTTGAATGTACATTCTTGTACTTGGAAGTGGCTTGTCTAATACCATTAATAAATGGACATGTAAATTGACACTTTTTCTGACACATCAGTTCCAGTATGGTTACAATAATTTGTAATTGCCATTCCAATTTAATAGCTGTTTCTCTTGAGAACACCTCATCAAACTTCTGAGCACATAGACTCTTTACAGCTGTATCTAACATCTCTACTGACACAGAATCTCCTTTATGTACAAGAATATATTTGAGTGCATAAATATTCCGAGAATATTTCAAGCCTGTTAACAATTCTTCTATTTGCTCATCTGTAGACATAAGCCCTTGTTCCATTAATTGAAGTATAACTTTAGGAAAACTGCCTTGATTTACAGTATTGCTCAGTGTTGATGTAGATGTCATTGAAGGAGTACTAGTATTAGGAGCACTTGTGAGAAAGTTGTCTGATACATAGTTGGTTGTTGAGCTAGAACTCATTGAGTCAGCCATAAAGGGAATTGAGCTTTCAGTCTTCTACAAAGTAACATGTAATAGTTAACAAATAAGCAAATGGAGTATCTTAGCATATGCTTGTTTCATATACCTCATGTGCCATTGTGCAGAGTGGTCACCTTGTTGCTTCATGCACTTGACAGTCAAATATCTTCCCCTTATTGCAGTATTGGCTAAAAATTCGCTGTGTGACATACTAATACTAATAGCATTTTTACCGGCGGTCATTATTTGGGAGATATACTACTTGCTCTATGGGGAGGTAAGTTATTTGGTGAAATACTCCAATTCTCTATTTCTCGCAAGGGCCACGATCGATTTGTATAGTGGATCGATAATAGTATAACTTGCCTTATATGACATAGCTTCGAGGAGTTCTCAAGAGCCTATTAATGATTCGATTGTCAAGTATTGGTTTGATCGAATTACTAGCGCTAACCTCCTGCAACCATACTCGCATACTTTAGCACATGTCCATAATTATTCGTCAGAGTCCACCATAGATGACGACAAAGTCAACAGAACCACTTGAGTATAAGAGAGGTTAGGTTGTACCTTACCAGTATGTGAAGCTGGAATATGGCTAATGATTGTACGTTAGATCGCTGCCAAGTTTAGTTTGACTACTCTGTGCACTATGGTTTGTTGGTAAGTTTAAAATCAAAAAGTAATTTATTTTCATTTGCGGAATGTTTCTGAACTAAGAATTCTGTTCTTGATCAGCGAACATGCATCATTTACAACAGTCGCAATTGTATTTTTGAGTAAAGTCGACCAGGGGGCTGACGATGCTTTCCAAACTTCAACGCGGCAGACAGATCACACGATGACAACAACGACAACTCGTTCGAGTTGGCAGCACCGCGTTCCAAATACTTGGTGATTTCTTGGCATTAATTAATTGGCGCTTTCTTCTATGGATGTTATACGTTTTACTAAAATTGCGCATGCATGAAAGGTGCCTCCTGTTGGGTGATTCAACACCTCACCTTTATTCTCTGTTCCCCATTATTTCTATTGCTTGATGCGGCTGGTTTGGAAGAGTTTGTATTGGTCAATGCGTTACTTGGGACATTTATTTTTGGTTATCGTCCGTCAATGTTGATGACATCACCACACCATTGGCTGACGATACCGTTTGGGCAATTTTGGAGTAAAAGGAATTGTTATGGCTGGTTCATATTGATAGTGTTCGTTGGAGTAAACATTGTGGTCATCAAAGAGGTCGCGGTGAGTGAGATGCATGTTGCAAGATTAGCCTATTATCATGCGTGCTCTATCAAAAGGCTAGACTAAAACTGAAGAGAAATCCGTAATTTTCAATATATCTCCAAGATATTTTGAGGTGGAGAAGAATGAGAGGAGAGAGAAGGGGTTGCGATGGGATAGGTTAGGGTAAGAGGGGAGGTGTGATTTTTTATTACATATATAATGTGTCAAATTTGGTTTCTTTATCAAATTCATCATAATGTCCGCTGAGTTTATTCGAGTTATGATTTATTATTTGTAAATTGGAGGTTCTTGAGCTTCTCTTGACGGCAGACGAAATGCAACTCGAAGAATTAATCAAACACGATAATGGGATCATGGACTATGTCGAACTTATTCTGTTCCATCGAGTATTCGGCTTTATATTGTTCAGAGGGACGATCCGGCAATTCTCTTCAAGACGGGTGATTATCTTCCAATCGACATCTTGACATCTGTTCTCGAACTAACGATTTAGTGATGGACGAGATGGATATGTGGAACTACGTAAAGTACAAATGAATGAGACTTTCGGCCGATCCGAGCAAATGGGTAGACGAAGACTTTCAAGTTTTGAGCAACCATCCCGACCTTTGCGACCTATTCGAGATCAACGTGTTTCCAGGTGATGATATGAGAATGGACTGCTGAGGATCAATCGCTTTTTAGAATAGCTTGGATAAGCTCCGTTGGGAAAATCTTTCATATAGAAGTTGTGGGCGGATCGTACCGCCAGTGCTCGTTTTAGGACTCTGTTTCCGGATTCACACCACACCCACCAAAGACATTCCATGAACTCTGCGATGCTATGTTAAAGGTTTAACAATCAAACCAGCTCATTCCATAATCCCCATAGGTTATTCAAACTGACAAGATCCCGTGTGAGAAACAAGGAACATGCGGTCGAATGGCATTGCACACTGCGGGCCTGATTTCAGAATGAGTGGTTTGTGTTTGCATGACCATTTTAGGGATGAATCGAGTTGTTATTGCCGACCCGAAAGTTATGCATCGATATTTTTGAACGTGGAGCGTTTAGTGTTAAAGCATATGAAGTGTTTCGGGTGAAGAAAAGTACGAAGTGTTGAGAGTCTAATCAAGAGACTAACCGAGATAGTAGGCAGTAGGTGGCTTCATTCTGCGGGAGTATAGCTAGATTCACGAGGGGGATTGGCAGCTGGCTTTCGCCGGAGGCCCACTTTGGCACGCGTTCTCCTCTTGCGGGTCGTGGGCTTTGCACCAAATAACACCAATAGATGTATAACCTTAAGAGTATATCGTGATCTGTAAACTCTCGATTATTAACTCATGTCATAAATATGTACGACTTAACGTAACAGTCCAATCCCTTGTGGTTAACCTACAATGTCGCAACAACCTTTTCAAACTACATGGCAGGGAGCAACTATGGAACTATCAACAACAAGAGAATCAGAGCATCAATCCTCGGATACATTGATGCGTTCAAACCAGCATTTATTATATCAAAATTTTCTGACTAACTCGCAAAGCGAATTGCAAGCAGAACAACTGCCTCAACAATACCAATCATCACCCAACCTTTCACAATCACCTGCTGATGTGCTTTAAAGGTATTTTATTTCGCAATTGACAGAGGAACCGGCGTACACAGACGATTCCAATCTGGCTATAAACAACCAGTTACAGGTTCTATTCAGCAACAGAAAGACATTTTGTCTACTCGGCAAAACCTGCTTCGCATCGGCAACAACGTCAACAGCAGTGGTTGTCGCAGTACCCGTATTCGAGACAGCGTGAAGTACAAACATCAAACAAATCTTTTAAGCCGCCGATGCAGTTTGAACATCAATCGGACCGACAAAACTCGGTTCAAAACATGCTTGGAGTTTTTCCAATTGAGCAATCAGAATTGGAGTATGTCCAATCACAGGTTTGTATATTCGGTTTACTGTGAGGTAACTGTATATTAAGTTCATGCATTCACATACTGCTATGGCATTATAGGTCTATCCAACATTCATCAAATTCCTCAACCACAAAACAACTTTAATCAATTAGGAAACGGGTTTCCAGATAAACCTTCCCAGATAGAAACTGATGAGCGATCTTTGCAATCTCAAGTAATCAGTCATCAGCGGGAAGAGCCTAATAATGTTTATAATAAGGAATGGATTGAGAACAGTATTCAAGAGGGTCCTATTCGCTGTTATTCAAAAAGCGACATTGATATGCATAGTTTACCTATTGCTGGTAATGTCTATAGAGCAGTATTTGAGGCAACGATGAAACACAATAAATTGACTGTCACCGTAAAAACTTTGTATCGGAATGCCCACAGTTGTGAGGAAAAATTTTACAAAAAACTTGTCAAAAAGGTTGGTCGTTGATTTTTGTTCAATATATTAGGCGTACGTTTTATTGTAGCCAATTCATAACTAATGACTTAAATGCCACCAGCTGAAAAACCACAACAAAGTGAGCGGTCATCCAAATATTATCCGATTATTAGGTGTCTGTAAGTATATTATTGTTATCGTTTGTAACATGGCGATGTATTTTTACACATGTATTTTTCAATCTAAAGTCGAAGATGACGGTTATCATATGATTTTCGAGTTTGCTGATGGCGGAACTTTGCGCACTCACTTGGCGCAACATTTTCATAGTTTAACAAGTATAAGCTCAGTCTCGAAATTACTAACGGTTTGGGACACATGCATAAGCTTAATATCATCCACAAGGACTTGGTAATATACTTAATGATTATAAACTAATAATTATTATCTTCCTAACCCTTATTTACAGTCCTCCTTTAACACTCATATTGTCGCAGAAAAATCGAAACGCGAAAACGAACTAATTTGAACAAGAAGGCCAAGCAATTGAGAGCAATCAGCAATACTCCAACAGCAGCACAAGATAAGCTGAACAAAGGGATAAAACGCAAAATCTGCTAACATAATTAGATGAAAGATTGTGGATGAAACGATCTGTCTCAGTTGTTAATGGACAACCAACAGCAAATTCAGCACTGTGCACTGGAATTGGTGCTAGTTGTATTTGGACAGGGCACTAGTTGAAAGTCATGAGGCTCTTTAGTGAGCACTACTGTTGTACAGGATGAAACAGGTGTTAATTGAACGTGGATTGTGGAAAGATGGATTAAGTGCCGACTGTAAATTATGCAAGGATAATGTTGATGATATAAATCGGACAGACTGTTACGCACGGCGAATTGTTTCATTACAGCCAGATTTTTTATCACAAAAAAGCGCGTTAGAAGAAGCCATACTAATACTCCGTTCGGCCAAGCGGTTATATAAACAGAGGCTGCCTCCTCTCCATCGACTTATCTTCTTCAAGATACACCTGTTAAAACGAATAAACGGCTGTTCATTTTTAATCTTTTATGTGTTTGTAATTATTATAAATTCTGTTATTAACAAGCATTTTAAAAACCAAAAATGAGTTAACCCATTT